AGATGAGGGCACTGGGATTCCAGGACATGGCAGGACATGGATGGAGTGAGATTCCAGGGCATGGATGGAGTGAGATTCCAGGGCATGGATGAACCAAAATTCCAGGACATGGATGGAGTGAGATTCCAGGACATGGATGAACCAAAATTCCAGAGCATGGATGGAATGAGATTCCAGGGCATGGATGAACAAAATTCCAGAGCATGGATGAACAAAATTCCAGGGCATGGATGTCCCAGGATTCCAGGACATGGATGTCCCAAAATTCCAGAGCATGGATGTCCCAAAATTCCAGGACATGGATGAACCAAAATTCCAGGATATGGATGAACCAAGATTCCAGGACATGGATGTCCCAAAATTCCAGGACATGGATGTCCCAAAATTCCAGGCCATGGATGAACCAAAATTCCAGGACATGGATGAACCAAAATTCCAGGATGAAATGAGATTCCAGGGCATGGATGTCCCAAAATTCCAGGGCATGGATGAAATGAGATTCCAGGACCTGACAAAGATTCTAGGCTGTGTCAGGACATGAATGTCCCAAAATTTCATGACAAGGATGAACAAGATTCCAGGACATGGATGTCCCAAAATTCCAGGACATGGATGGAATGAGATTCCCAGGATTCCAGGCCCTGACAAAGGTTCCAGGCCCTGTCAGGACATGAATGTCCCAAGATTTCAGGACAAGGATGAACAAAATTCCAGGGCATGGATGAACCAAAATTCCAGGACGTGGATGAATCAAATTTCCAGGGCATGGATGTCCCAAAATTCCAGAGCATGGATGAACCAAAATTCCAGGACATGGATGGAATGAGATTCCCGGGATTCCAGGCCCTGACAAAGGTTCCAGGCCCTGTCAGGACATGAATGTCCCAAGATTTCAGGACAAGGATGAACCAAGATTCCAGGACATGGATGTCCCAAAATTCCAGGACATGGATGAAATGAGATTCCAGGACATGGATGAACCAAAATTCCAGGGTATGGATGTCCCAAAATTCCAGGATATGGATGAACCAGGATTCCAGGACATGGATGTCTCAAGGATCTCAGGCCCTGACAGGACATG